TTGCAGGGGAACCTGTGCAGACTGGAACTCTCCAGGATCAGGCCCCAGACTTGGTTCAGATGATGCCTGCGGAAAACTATCCAGTGCAGACTGAGTCTCCTCTGGTTCCGAGTCCGAGCCCGAGTCCCAGGCCATCACACAATGTGATGATAAATTAGGACCTTTGTACTCACAGGAGGAGTGCTCGCCTTCGGGCAAAACAGGGAGGTGAGTCATTGGAGGATCAGGACCAGCCGCATCTGTGGCTTCTTTGGGGGCCCGCAGACACTCGTCTGTGCAATAAGCCAAGGTTTGGTTTAGCATGATGTGTTAAACAAGCACTAAGCTAACTGCATAAATGGTGTAACTTTTTTAACAGTTAAAAACAGTTAATTTTTCTTATTTAAAAAAGTTTTTGGGTGTGGGTTGACTTGTAGTCTGTTGATGTCGTAATGAGTGCCGTAGATCGCTTACCTTTTTTCTGTACTGGCTGTAGCATTTAAAAAATATTTTGCTTCAATTTTGCAATAAAAAAACCATTAACTTGATGAAAAAAAGTGTCTTGTTGTTGACCGTCATTTGATATGTGATGGGGGGAAATGGTAATACTCATATCTCAAATGCCTCGTAGTCTTTATTTTTTTGTGTGTTTTCCTTTAAAAAGAATTAGTGTGGACAACAATATCAGTAACTAAAAACTAATTTTTAAAAATCTGATGTTGACATCCTTTTTCTTGCTAAGAATAAACAGTATATATGAGATTTACATATATAAATGAGATTTACAACTACTCTATGCATTTCCACTCAGTAGTAAGCCCATTGAATTGAATGGTACCTACTCCTAGCTAAGTGTAACAGAGGTTTTTCCGGAACTGAGAATGAGGCTGCAAGTTGTGTGGAACTCTAAAGAGGCATACTACTTAATATAAAAGTGCTGGCATTATTGTAATTTATAGCACACTCCTGTACATTTCTATTCTGAAGCAAGCCTCCTGGGACTTACTCCCAGATAACTGTAGCTGGGGTTGTCATGAAATGACACTGAATTTTATTTTTTGTCGTTCCTAGGACTTACTACATTTTTTAAAAAATCAGCCTGTCAATAAGTTACATTAATCTTGTTTACAGTTATCTTTCTGTTTTCTCCCTTTTCTCTCTCTTTTTCCTCTCCTACCCCAAAGCTACTTAAAGAGATAGCACGGAAACGCCGAAGTATTCGTTTGGGGAGGGAAGCAGATTTAAAGCCATATATTGCAGCACACTTTGAAGTTCTTCCTACTGAGTTCACCCTGGGGGATAAGAAACAGTATGGTGGTTTTGAAAACAAGCAGCTCCAAAACGGCCAAGAATATGTCGTCTTTATTTTAGCTGTTATGGAGCACTCGGAATCCGTAAGTTGACTGCAAGTTTTATGTTGTTCCTAAAAATGTATCTCTCCAATGCCTCCGTAGCATTTGAGCAAACACTTGACATTTCTGTTCCTTTCATAATATTAATTGCATATTGTGGGAAGTGGTGCTTTCCCTTCACTTATTTGAATGACTTCGCCAGTTTTGGATAAGTCTCTCTACATAAAAGTAAAGATCCTTTTCACATACCCAGCAATGTGGATAAGTTCAGTGCACAAGGATGCAGCAAGTTTGTCCAATGCCTAAATTGCCTTATGGATTGCCTTTATTCTGATATGCACATGCCAGATATATATGATTTCTCCCACCGCTACTTGCACACATGCAGGGCCAGATTTAGGTTTGATAAGGCCCTAAGCTCCTGAAGGTAATGGGGCCCTTTGCATGTTGAGGTCCCCAAGACACCCCTACCCCAATAACTCACACATCACACAGGATTTTTGTTTAAGGTTTTTGGCATAATTTTGGCCACAACTTTATTAACATACATGGATGTGAGTGGTTGCTTAGGCATTGGTTAGGACTATCTGTCCCCCCGCCTTGGGGACAGAACTGACTCCCGGATTCCAGAGAAAGTCAGTGAGGGGAAACAATATTGGGGAGAACTGGAGCTGCGACACAGGCCCTCAGCTTCTCCCCGCATGCTCCCAGGGGCTTACGCGGCCTAAACCTGATTCCAGGGGTTTGGACGAAAGGATGGCAAGCCCCTGGATTCCTTTAATGGAATTCCCTTGCAGCAGCAGCATTGGAGGGGCCGGCCCAGCCAATCCTTACCCCTCCTCCAACCAATTTTAACCAATACCTAACCGCAACCTTACAAGTTGTGACGATTTGCTACGCAGTAGGCAAAAACCAAATGGCACCAGCCAATCAGCCAAATGGACAAAATTCCTTCCAGGCCCCTGCCCCAATGGCGGACGCCCCCATGACAGGCATAGCAAGGTCAATGCATAAGACCCAAATCAAGGGAGGGCGGGCAGGTGATCCGGTGCACACAGAGAAAGAGAAAGCAGATTGCGGTGTGCACTGCTTAAAAAACCTCTGTTCCCACCCCCAAATTGGCAACATCAAAATTACCCCAGCAACTCAGGCTACCAATCCCTGCCAGGGCCAACCATCCCAAACATGCCTAGCAACACCGGGATGTCTTATCTGGCCCCCACCGCAACACGTGCTCTCTTTTAATGAGAACACGCTTTATATGTCCAGCTGTTGCCAGGCATGTTTTTGCATTTGCTGTGCGATTGCTTGTTAGTACTTGCACAAAATAAGTTATAATATGACCTTGAACCCAGCGTAGGAAAGATGCATCCTAGTTGCTAGGGGGGAATGAAGATAAAACTAGAGAGATTCCAAGGACTAGAGGCAGAAGCAGGGGAACTGCACTAAAGGAGGGCAAAACAGCAGATCTTTAGAACCCCAGGGATTCTTATCACTTGGTTTCCAAACAACTCACTCATCAATCACAGTTCTGACTTCAGTTCACTCATTAGTTAAACACACTGAAAGGCAGGAAAAGCCATATTACAGAAATAGTTTTGAATGGTAGTTGCATGTTTCGTTTCATAACTTCCTTTCAAGGAGGGCTAGAGACTTAGGGTTTTTTTTTTAAATAGAAAAATGAAAGCTTAGAGTGTGAAGACGCTGGTGGTTGTGTGCCAAGCACATGAGTATCACCTGTTCAATGTGTCTATGACCCTTGGCGGGTGCCAGGGGGACGAAACTGCACATTGACTTGGCTCACATTTCTGGGTATGCTGGATCACTATCAACATCTTAACCATCACTGTTCATATCCTGTGCAAGTCATAAGGTTTGCTTCTTGAAATCTCTGATCGGTGTTACTGAGGCGTGAGCTTCGCAGTGGAGTCTTATCATGCCTCTGAAAGAAGGCTTTTCTTGCCGCGAGACATATTGCTCAGTCAGTGGTGCTCATTGCCAAACATCTTTGGAAAAGAGGGAACTAATCAAGGACATGCACAGCTAGTTTCTTTAATTATAGTAATTTGCCACTGACTTTATCAGTGAAATGTAGCAGAGTTGGAAAATAATGTAACAAAAAGGAGAATTCCTGAGGTGATCTAAATAATGAGTTGTGCTTTCCCTCTTATGCAATCCATCTCTTTCTTATGTCCCTTTTATGCTTGAGCTGTTTTAACTGCATGTAATACAGTTTTAAAAAATAATTAAGCACAAATGGAAAGAGGATTGTGGGAAGGTGTAGCAGCAGACATTAACATTTTTACATACAAGTGTCTTCCTAATTGGCTCTTAAACCTGTCATGTGTGTGTGCTGGGCTGAGCCTATTGAGATTAATTAATTCTAGTCAAAGGCTTGTTTCCTGGTGGGGTTTTTTCTGTGAGTTTTGTCTAAGTGCAAGAGGGGCTTTTGTTTAGTCTACTTTTATGCTTATACAATGCTCTTATTTGGTTTCCCTTTTCTACTTTTATCTTGAAACTGGCCCAAAGCTTTGAATAAAAGCTTTGAGTGTGAAATAGAGAAAGCCCAATACACCCAGCTTCAGTTGATAAAAACCTATTTTTTTAGAGTATTTTTGAAAAATGGTACTGTACTGTTAAATACGAATCTTATTTCCCTCTAGACCATGTATGCAACCAGCCCATATTCTGAAACGGTTGTATCAGTGGATCTTAACCCCCAGCCAATTACAGATGAAGAAGAAGGCTTGATTTGGGTTGTAGGACCAGTTCTTGCAGTTGTGTTTATCATCTGTATTGTTATAGCTATACTCCTTTACAAAAGGTAAGTTTACAAAATAGTTTATAGGTTAGATAATATTTTAGAGATGGTAGTCATTTCTGGGGTAGAAAGAAATGTAATTCCTTTTACAGATGCCTTTCTCTTCAGTTTCATCAGTTACGGATACCTTTCTCATCCGAGCTGTTACGTCTCAGATACGCAAAATCCTTCTATTACAAGCCTTGGTTTTTCAGGAGTATTTGGCTGCGTATAGACTTCTGAGAGGCCTGGAAGTCTTTCCTAGATCTCTGTAGAGATGCAAAATAAAAATAGGAAGCAATAATTTCACAAAGTTGAGTTGCCCCATTGGCAGTGTAACCCTTCTGTTAGAACCAAAGGCTAGGTAAGAAAGTTTAGGGATTGTTTTCTTTCTGCCATGTCTACTGGAAACGTGATACACCAGCTTATCTGGGCAAAAGAGGTAGCAAGAACTAAAGTATTTCATCAAATGCAAAGAATGGAACCATACTATAAATAACTGGTAGTTTAATAAAACTCAACCAGTGGATACTGTTCAGTTCTAAGGAAACTAACCCCAAAGTCTAGGTTCGCAGCTAAATACATACATTTTGAATGAGTTTTATTCACCCTTCTGGGGATGAACTTAATTCCAAATATTGCATCCTATTTTCCTAGTGACCTCCAAGTTGTGGGCATTGCTCTTGTTAGGATACAATTGGTCAGTTCACAGCAACAATCCAATATCCTGATGCCCAGCCATAAACCACAATAAATAAATCCAGCAAAGATGCTAGGAAGATGACCGCATGCTAAATATGCTCAAGATTCAGGTAGCTGTGTTGGTCTGACACAGTTGAAATAAATTTTATAATTAAAAAAAATGTCCAGTAGCACCTTAGAGACCAACTAAGTTTGTTCTGGGTATATGCTTTTGTGTGCTTATATGAAGGTTATACCCAGGACAAACTTAGTTGGTCCCTAAGGTGCTACTGGTCACGAAGAGTCAGACACGACTAAACAGCAACAACAAAGGTGCTACTGGACAATTTTTAAAAATATGCTCAGTTACTGATGCAGAAAAAGAGTAGCAGTAGCTCCTCCTTTCAGAAGTCAGATCAGGTGAAGATGTATCCATCAGCTTTTTCACAAAAGGTAAACTTGTTATCAACTACAGCAACTCTCCCCCCCCCCCCAAGCCTGTCCTATTAGGCTCCACCTATAAGATTTTTCTTCTACCAGCTGGGCTTCAGAATCTTTCCACCCATATTCCAGAATCATCCAAAGTTAAGGCAACTAGTCCCAGCCCAGTATGCAATGATGTTGAAAAATGAAGTGTTTTTATTCATTGTTTTATTATGGATTTTTGTAAACCACCCGAAAGCTGGTGTTGAAAGGGGGCATATAAATGTTTTAATAATACTGATAAATTTGCAAAATAAATAATTTCTTTCTCTGATACTTGTGGCATAGCTGTAAGTCCTACAAGTACAATTCAGCCATGCAAATCTAGTCCTTTGTAAGCCTGCTTAGAAGTAAGTTACACTGGGTTTGGCGAAGCTTACTCCCATGTAATCCGGTATAGATTTGCAGCCGTCCTGTACTGTACCTACATTTCAAAAATACCTGCATCTAAATTGGCATCAAATATGCAGATAAAGTGTTCATGCATTCAGTTCTGCAGGCCACGTTTGAGTCATACTACTAAGTGACTGCATTTTCCTAAGTATTTCCACCAACCTCTCCCTTTGTCACTTAATGATGAGTCAAGCGATAACCATACAATACCTCCAGTTTAAAGCACTAAATGAACTTGAATGGTGGGAACCTGGCAACATCCCCTGGCCTTAGCCAAGCTGGCAGAAAGAGAGAAAATTCACTAAGGAGAAGGCAACAAGCTCCAGTACTCCTGGCAAACCAGATGTTTATGGAGCTCAATGTGTTTTTTTGGAGAAGTCTCCTTCCCCAGGAGCTATAGACAAAACACAATTAAAAGAATGATAATGCTTAAGGGACAGCATTGTTATTAATGCAACAAAACATGCAAAACCACATAAACCAGCACATATAACTCTGCACTCAAACAATTCTCCTCAAGAAGGTAATTGTGCATTTTAACAAAAAGCAGGAACCTTATGGGACTGGAGCATGTCTCCTTTATGTTTTGCTTAGCTAGGCAACCACAGATAGTTGTCCCCCCCCCCAAAAAAAAAGATAACAGAAAGAGATTGAGCTCTTCTCTGGAAATGGGAGACCCACCTCAGCTTTTGAGAATCATGGCAAAACTAGAAGCTGTTGTGAAGTTTGCTGCAGTCTAGAAATCAAGTTGCAAATCCGTGCTTTGTGGTTCATCCAAGGTGCAGTGGGAGAGGGACAACAGTTGGTTGACATGGTGTAACTAGAAATAATTTTAATAGGTCCATATTTTGCAAATGTGTTCTATATGCACTAGTACTACTTTCTAGTGGTGAAAAAGTTTATCACAAGATTTCGGACAACATTGTGGAAACTTCTAGTATCAACATTGAAGGGTTTATCTTCCTTTGAACTAGGGAAAGCACTGAAGGTTTAGGCTGGCTTTGTAATATTTGCTTTATTTGCCCAAATATATAAGCAGAGCACAGAGAGGTAAATAGAGCCACAACCACTAGATGGAAATTATCAGAGTTCTGGAGGGAAGAAATGTCAGTTAGTGTTATGAAACCTATTTTAAAAATGTAGCTGGATTGGGCCTGAGCAATCAATTATTTTGAACCAAGTCGGACATTAATTTTGACAACGGATGTGCATATTTCAGAGCTTTGTTTAATTCCTTTTATTTATCTACTTAGTATATTTATATAATGCTGCCCAATAACATTTTTTTCTCTCCATTAGCTATCTTCTATCATAATTAGAGTAACATTTGGAGAAGGAACTCATATACAGTAGTGTACAGTTAATTTCCTTTAATAGGTTTTTCTTGGTTTTGCGTACATTGTGCGTATGGCAGTTACATGTGGTATTGTGTTAATTCCTTTCTGCAAGTACATGACTCGGGTGAGCTATAAAATCAGACATATACCAAGATCGCAATGATCACTTACATCTTCCTTCATCTGCGGCATGTGCAGGGAGGAAAAGATTGAGATAATTTAATCAAGGGGAGAGTTTTCAAATGCATATCAAGTAAACCACACTCACCCTTGCAATGGAAGGATCTAAAATCAGTATAGCTTGAAATGGCATGTTGAGCCAAAACATGAATGATTCGGGGGCCGAGCAGCTAGTTACAGCTCTGTATTTATTGCAGTACAAACAGATTAGTATGTATACCACCTAGATATTCTCAGCAGGTGGGGAAATTAGTGTTTTGTGTTTCTTATTTTTTAAGAGGCAAGATGATTTTAAAAACAAAGACTTGGTGGATGGCAGTGTAGGCTTTTTGATTGCAGTCATCAAAAATGTTCATAAAAATTATTTAGCATCTGATATTAACATACAAGGTGGAAAAATAGGCAAAGGGACTTAGATATGGATTTTTAGATGGTGGAAATTTTAAGCTATCTCACAGGTAAAGGTAAAGGACTCCTGACAGTTAAGTCCAGTCATGAATAACTCTGGAGTTGTGACGCTCATCCCGCTTTACTGGCCGAGAGAGCCGACATTTGTCTGCAGACAGTTTTTCCGTGTCATGTGGCCAGCATGACCAAACCGCTTCTGGCAAAACCAGAGCAGCGCACAGAAATGCCGTTTACCTTCCCACCAGAGCGGTAACTATTTATCTACTTGCACTTTGACGTGCTTTCAAACTGCTAGGTTGGCAGGAGCAGGGACTGAGCAACGGGAGCTCACCCCGTCGTGGGGATTCGAATCGCTGACCTTCCGATCGGCAAGCCCTAGGCTCGGTGGTTTAGACCACAGCACACCCGCGTCCCTAATCTCACCGGTGCAGTTAGGTAATTATAGACTCTGGGCTCACTGATCTTTTCGGATGGCATTAGCACTTAACTTCAAAATGTGGTAAGCCAAACCTGCTGTGAGTGAGCACCTGCACCAAAGTCCAGCCCTGATCGGCACAACTGAACTACCTCCTGTGGCATACATTTGCTCTACTAGTTTATCCTATTCTCACAGTTCATAATATCATCATAATCATAGTATTTATTCTAATCAATTCATCTCTCTTAAAGCATGGGTGGAGAACTGTTTCCAGTCAGAAGGCCAGATGCTTAGCTTTCCCCACTCCTGTGGGCGATTGTGATGAGAGGCAGTGTGGTGTATTGGTTAAGAGCGGTGGACTTGTAATCTGGTGAACCGGGTTCGCGTCTCCACTCCTCCACATGCAGCTGCTGGGTGACCTTGGGCGAGTCACACTTCTTTGAATTCTCTCAGACCCACTCACCTCACAGAGTGTTTGTTTTGGGGGAGGAAGGGAAAGGAGATTGTGAGCTGCTTTGAGACTCCTTAGGGTAGTGATAAAGCGGGATATCAAATCCAAACTCTTCTTCTTGTGTAAGGAGGATGGGACTACCTGCCTGTCAATCAGCTGATGTCTCCATGACATCAAGTAAAGCATTTTGCTTTGCCCACGTAGTTTGAAATCAGACTGCAGTGACAAAAGCACAGGGCTCTGCAAAGCTAATCTGTGGTGCCTGCAAAGCCCTGTCTATTTGCCTGTGTGGTTGGGTTTCATGCCACACAGGGAAAATGAGAAGGGTTTGCAGGCACCGCTGATCATTGGTGCCTGCAAACCTTGCTTTCAGCAGAGAGCTGCATCCTCACCTAGTCCATACTTGATGTCACATATTGCATCAGATGTGGGGCAGGTGGGTGTGACTTGGGAAAGTGGCAATGGAAGCTGAATTGAGCACTCTTCAGGACCTAATTCAGCTCACAGGCCAGGGTTTCCGCACTGCTCCTACATACCCTCCAACACGATGTGGCCCAAATACGGGACACCATCTTCCAGGTCCAAAATTCCCTGAGAGTCACGTGACCCACGCAAGATCGTGGACCCAGGAAAAGTGATTTGTGAGGCACGAAGCCCTCGAACGTGTATTTTGTGGTGTCATACAAGATCCCAGACCCAGAAAAAAATGCTTTCGGGGGAGTTGAGATCTTGACCTAAAATTGCATGAGAACAACCTGCCCAAAATGGCTGCCCTACTCTTGCAGGGGGAAAAATGGGATGTCCTGGTTTTGGGGGGGGCAGTTGACAGGTATGGTACTCTGAGGTGATTAGTGGTTGTTTTGGAATCTTTGCTACCAAGAGATGTGAAAGCAGAATTTAAAAAAGAAAAAGTGTAAAAGGCTATATTTTTATAAATGCAGCTCAGATTTTGTAAAATTTTTGAAATAATGCATTTGTTGGATGTCTATATATATCCAAAGATTCAGTTGTCTTTCCCCCAAAAGTAGTATATTTCCAAGTAAGATATTTTAATGACCTGTATGTTTCAATAGATCATTGTTTTCAATGATGATTTTTTTCCTATGCTTTTAGCTGTTTCTATTTTATTTGTAAGCCGCCTTGAGTCCCTGTCAGGGAAAAAGGCAAGATATAAATAAATAGAATAATAATAGCCTTTCAGTATCTCCTACCTCCTGATATGCTGTATATTGTGTCCTTGGGTTTTTTCCAGAGATGCCTTAAGAAAAGAATGCCTTTGATACAACCTCTGTCTCAAGCAAAACTTATCCAAATGTTGCTTAAGTTTCTTCAGCCATGAAGTACTTCCTTTGAATGTACCCTGTGCCCCCATATTTTTCTCTGATTAGAAAATTTTTCATGTTTTCATGGGCTGTTACATTCTGCATCCTAATTGCAAACACCATTTTCTATTGTTGCGGTAATTCCTTTGCCATTGGCCGACTAACATTTAACCTTTTCCCCTCCTTTTCCGCTGCATAATAATGGAGCAGTAAACCTGACAGGTGAGAAGTGAAGAACAATTCCTCTCCGACTGGGAAACCTAGAAAACCAATCTACATAAAATGTCTCTGTAGGACAGTGCAGGTTTTGCATGCAAGAGATCCCAGATGCATTACCCAATCATCTCCTGATAGGGCTTTCTCATGCCTGAACTCCTGGAGAATTGGTCCCAGTCATTGTAGATAAAATACAAAGCTAGATACGCATAGGAAGCTGCCTCATTGGTCTACCTAGCTCAGTACTGTGATTGGTAGCAGTTCACCAGGGATTCAGGCAGAGTTCTCTCCCAGGCCTACCTGTTAAGGGACAACCTGTAGATGCCTGGAATTGAACTGAAGACCTTTTATATGCAAAGCAGATGCTCTACCACTGAGCCACAACCCTTCCTAAATTGTCTTATGCAATATGATGTAGCTTTCTATTTTCCTAACCTGGTTGGTTTATTATACATAATGTTTGCGTGTGTGGGTCCCCAAGCCGCCCCTCAAAATAATTCACAAATCACACGTAATTTTAGTTTAAGGTTTTTGGCACTATTTTGGCCACAACTTTGCGTGTCGAGGTCCCCAAGCCACCCCCCAAATAACTCACAACGCACACTTAATTTTTGTTTAAGGTTTTTGGCATAATTTTGGCCACAACTTTATTTAAATACAAAACCGTGAGTGGTTGTTTAGGCATTGGTTAAGACTATCTGTCCCCCCGCCTGGGGACAGAACTGACTTCCGGGCACCACCGAAAGACAGTGCAGGGGAAAGCAAGTCGGAGAGAAATGGAGCTGAGTCACAGACCCTCAATTCTCATCCACATGCTCCCTGAAGGCTTGCCGGCCCTAGTCCCATTCCAGGGATTGGACGAAAAGATGGCAAGCCCCAGGATTCCTTTAACGGAATTCCCTTTCCGCAGCAACCATGGAGGGGCAGGCCCAGCCTATCCTAACCCCTCCTCCACCAATTTATAACCAATGCCTAACCGCAACCTTACAAGTTGTGACGATTTGCTACACAGTAGGCAAAAACCAAATAGCCCAGCCAATCAGCCAGATGGACAAAATTCCTACCAGGCCCCTGCCCCAACGGCAGACGACCCCATGACAGGCATAGCAAGGTCAATGCAACAACCCCTTACTCAAGGGCGGGTGGGCGGGTGATCCGTTGCACGCAGCAAAGAGAAAGCTCCAGGCTGCGTGCAGAGTATTTAAACATTTTTCCCCTCCCACCAAAATTGCAACATAACTTGTAGCCCAGCAACCCAGTGAACCAATCACTGCCCCAGGCCATCTTTAGAGACCCTGCCTGGTAACAGAGGGGTGGCTCAGCAGACCCCACTGCAACACGTGCTCTCCATGAAGGAGAACACGCCTTATTAAAAATCTGTGAGTGGTTGCTTAGGCATTGGTTATGACTATCTGTCCCCCCCGCCTGGGACAGAACTGACTATCCGAACTCCCTCGGAAGCCAGTGAAGGGAAAACAACGTTGGGGATCAGTTGAGCTGAGCGTCAGTCCCTCACCGCTCACCCAAGCAGCTCCCCAAGGCTTGCCGGCCCTGGTCCCATTTCAGGAATTGGACGAAATTGTGGCAAGCCCCAGGATTCCTTTAACGGAATTCCCTTCCAGCACCATTGGAGGGGCAGGCACAGCCTATCCTGACCCCTCCACCACCAGTTTTTATAACCAATGCCTAACCGCAACCTTACAAGTTGTGACGACTTGCTAAGTAGTAGGCAAAAACCAAATGGTACCAGCCAATCAGCCAAATGGCAAAGTTCCTACTAGGCCCCTGCCCCAAGGCAGACAACCCCATGACAGACAAAGCAAGGTCAACTGGAACACAGGGCAGGCGGGCGATCTGATGCACTCTGTGAAAGAGAAAGCAAAAGCAGTGTGTCCCAATATTTAAAGCCTATGGTCCCACCCACCTGATTTGCTACATGCAATTTGCCCCAGCAACCCAGTCAGCCAATCGTTGCGCCAGGCAATAACTATTAACCTGCCTGGCAACCGAGGGCTGGCCTAGTGGCCCACACCGCAACACGTGCTCTCATTTTAGGGAGAACACACTTTGCCAATCTAAATAAACATGACCAGGTAAATAAGAAGTAAAGATGCCTTAAATCAAAACTTTCAAAATTGAATGTTTCCCCGTTTTTGGGATACTAGTGTCAATTCCTTTTAATATTTCATGTTGGCCTTCTCTATCATAGAATCAATTTTGTAAGAATACTTGGCTTCCTTCCAAAATGGTGCTATTCAGGAAGCACAGCTGCAGAGGAACTGGCTGGTTATTGACTATCAACCTCCTTTAGTTCCACGTTTAGTTGGGAGGTGCTACTGAAGAAGGAGCTCTTTCTTTTCTATAAATAATCCTAGGAAAACCCCAGTTTTACTTGGTTGTAATGATGACTTTAGGTACTACATGCATGAAGATTTCCTACTTCATAAATCATATTAATTCCAAACAATATGGGCCAGATTCAGCCCTCAGAAGGAGCTGAAGCTAGGGCAATAGGGCTTCCCTGCATCTCTTCCTCTTATGCACCCCCTAATTGTCTCTGTGGGTGCCAAGAAAACCCCTATATAGTTGCATGCAGGGGAAGAAGAGGTCAGATCATTCCATCAGGCTAGCAGAAAATGCTTGTACTGATGGAGCGAACCACTTAGCAGTCCATTGAACTCCTCCTTCAGTTTCTGTATGTAGCTTACTCTCTTTAAAATGTTGCATTTTTTTAATGAATCCCACAGAATGTAGTATTCCCACTGCGTTTTAAAATATGGAGACGGAGGGGAAAGGACAGGAGGAAATATATCTCTTTGTAAATGGTGAATGTAACTTCTTAATGACTGTGCTCACTTTGTCCATGTAGGAAAAGGGCAGAGACGGACTCTAGAAAGAGCAGCATACCCAACAACAAGGAGATTCCTTCCCATCATCCCACAGATCCAGTAGAGCTACGGCGCCTTAATTTTCAGACTCCAGGTAAGATGCAAAACTTCCTCTCTCTCTTTTTGAGTTACGAAAACTCTTCAGTATTTGTCTGTGATCTGACAATGGTTATAGGATAACAATGAGATGGAGAATGCTTAATTAATTCAGAGGTCACCAACATGGTTAGACGTGTGGGAACACTTAAAAATAATAATATTTTTTTTTTATTTATATCCCGCCCTCCCTGGCCAGAGCCGGGCTCAGGGCGGCTAACACCAGTAAAATTACACTAAAAACATAATGGGGGGGGGGACCCAATTTAAAATATAGGTTAAAATGTAATTTAAAATGCAGCCACATTTTAAAAGTAGCCCATAGATCAAAACCATAAAAACCATAAAGGGAGGGAAACATAAGGGTCAGACTGAACCCAAACCAAAGGCCAGGTGGAACAGCTCTGTCTTGCAGGCCCTGCAGAAAGATGTCAAGTCCCGCAGAGCCCTAGTCTCTTGTGACAGAGCGTTCCACCAAGTTGGGGCCAGTATTGAAAAGGCCCTGGCCCTAGTTGAGACCAATCTAACCACCTTAACTTGAAGTGAGTGAACACCGTGGGTGCCACTCTCTGACGATTTCTGTTCCCCTCCCACTGTATCAACCAGAGAGAGAGAGAGAATAAGAAAAAGTGTGCATGCATGCACATATTTTACTTCTTTTGGGATTTGGACATAAGTTGGTTCTAGTAGAAAAGCACATCAAACCAAAAGAAGAAGTGGGAAAGAGAGTCACTCTTCCAAATTCCCCCTTCAGCTCTTTGTACTTTTCAGTGGCATAAACCATCACTATCCTTACCACCACATGGTCATGGGGGCACTGAGTGGAGTGGGGTGATGGGGTGTGTCAGACAGGAGAAGACATGGGCACCATGGTGCCCATGGTCACCACATTGGCAATTCTTGATTGATTGATTGATTGATTGATTAATTAATTAAATTTATATACCACCTATTACAGGGCTTTTCACAACATAAAAATAAAAACACACAATACATAACATAATAGCAAAAAAGAAAAAAAAGAACCCCAAACCATCGCAACACATTTAGATTGTTTAATAAGCCAGAGGCCTTGATGAAGATGAATGTTTTCACTGGTGCCTGAATATCTGTAAAGAAGGCGCCAAGTGAGCCTTCCTGGGAGAGCATTCCACAAATGGGGAGCCACCACAGAAAAGGCCTGTTCTCATGTTGCCGCCCTCCTGACCTCTCCTGGCGGAGTACAGAAACATGGGCAATTTTATGTTGTTCTAGGTCAGTTCATATGGGGTTATGTGGTACTTGAGGTATTGCAGTCCTGAGCTGTTTAAGGCTTTATAGGTCAAAACAAGCACTTTGAATTGGGCCCAGAAACTAAATGGGAGTCAGTGTCGTTGGACCAGGATTGTTATATGTTCAAACTGTATTTCCCTGGGGAGCAAACCTGGCCATTGAACTCCACACCAACTGAAGTTTCGAAACCATCTTCAGAGGCAGCCCCATGTTTAACTCATTGCAGTAATCTTACCTAGAGCTTACCAGAGCATAGGCAACAGAGGTTAGGCTTTTCACTGTCTAGATATGGGTGTAGCTGTGCCACCAGCTGAAGCCAATGGAAGGCACTCTATGCCACTGAGGCCACCTGAGCTTCAGGTGACAGCAATCGACCCAGGAGTAGCCCCTAGCTTAAAATCTTCTTGAGATGTAAACCTGATTAGTTTTAGCCATGGTGTATGCTGTGTCAATGAAACGTGTAATATACAGGACCAGCCAAAAATATTACAAAACATGAGAAGAGGAAATGGGTCAACAAAGTGTGTTTGATTAAGGGGTTGGCTATGTTTGCTTTCGTTGGCCTCTACATAGAAATACAGTGGTACCTTGGTTTAAGAACAGCTTAGTTTATGAACAACTTGGATTAAGAATGCTGCAAACCCGGAAGTAGATGTTTTGGTTTGTGAACTTTGCCTTGGAAGCAGAACATGTTGAGTGTGTTCCATTTGTAAATTGAGTCTATGGGAAAGCATGCCTTGGTTTAAGAATGCTTTGGTTTAAGAACGGACTTCCAGAATGGATTTTGTTCATAAACCAAGGTACTACTGTAGCTTCCTGACCACATATTGTAAGTAATGCCTCTGTACTTGCTGATCAATGTTAAGATTTAAATCTATCATGCTCTTACAAGAACTCTGCTTTTACTTAGTTCTTTTTCTAAGGGTCAATTCACTCATGCATGTTCCTCACTCCATGGTTGCAACGTTGAACGATAACTTGCCTGTGTGTAACGACCATAAGAGATCAAATCCCACAGGCAGGGCTTTCAGGGCACATTACATCAAATCAAACACTGTACTTCTGAATGGAAGCAGTTTCCATATTCCGTGGGGAGTCATTGAAGGAAGAGAGGTCCAGAGATTTACAG